CCGATTGTTAAAAAATGGGCTGCTTAATTGTATATGTTGCATCTGCAATAAAAGTCTGCGCACGACTATGTTAAAATTCTTGAAATTAATATTAAATAAAACACACGAGTGTTAGCCAACATATTGTACTTTTTTGACCAAAAATTCTGGTACAATTTGCTAAGCATACGTAAAATTAAATTTTGTTTGAATCTAGTTTTTTGTTCATGAAAAAATGTTGCTTCTTCTTCTCTCGTGTCCGGAATCACCAAATTAAATGTTGCTAATAATATTGTTTATGTTTAAATAAATTTATCAGTACTGAAAAATTGATACAATTTTATATTCTATCAAATCTCAACAAGTCCTATTTTAATATCTGCTTTTCTACAGTGATGATTTATTAAATGAGAAATATTTTTGATATGCATTTTAATAAAAGAGTTATAGGTATTTAATAGTATACACCTATAAGTATTGATCGTTCTATAATTAAACGAATAAACTACATTATACATGTAATATATGAGTTCAATTAAAAAGCAATTTTTGTTTGAATTCCATTTTGATTATGTTTATAGACTAAATTTGCAAGATTCACCTTCGAATAAGATATTTAATTATGTTTTAATATCTCTYAAACTAGGTTAAACTATAATACCTATAGGTATCTATTACATTATATTATATTTGTARTTACCTGCAGCAATGCGTTAGTACATGTAGACYGATTTTACGATTAGGTAAACGAAAAACCGCGTTTTACGGATATAATAATATGTTATAATATAATTATTCGGGTAACGTGGAAAGATTCTTTTTGAACAGTTGGGCGCGTACTGCTGTACCCAATTGGAACTTTAATATTTTGACGTAGGTAGGTATATCTACGATATCAATAATGTTTACGGATGTACTTGAGTGATGGTGACTAACTTCGCCTATGCAAGCGGTTGCGCTGGCATAGCGCGCTCAATTATTATCTTATAATAATATTACGCGATGTCGACATTACAACACTCAGCAGAGATAATACAGTTTCRGCGTATTAGACTGTCGTGGTAACTGGTAAGTATACACTATTATTCGTTTTATTATGCGCTATAACAGTAGGTATAGCCTTATTATAAGATAATATCCACGTAAATTATGCATATGTATATTAAGGAAAACAATGCGATGATACTATTATTTACGCTGACAAATGATTTTTTTCGTCCATTTAAATACATAATATAGAGTCATAGAGATTATTACAAGGTGTACA